CTTAACATAATGTTCCCCAGTTCCATCCATGCTGTTGGAAGATGGTAAGAGTCCCTTCCTTTTTATAGCAGCGTAGTATTCCATTGTGAAGATGTACCACAGTTTTCTAATCCACTCATCTGCTGATCGGCACTTAGGCTGTTTCCCAATCTTAGATATGGTAAATTGTGCTGCTATGAACCTAGAGGTGCATATATAGCCTTTCTGATTGGTATTTCTAATTTCTTGGAATATATTCCTAGAAGTGGGATTACTGGGTCAAATGGGAACTCTGTTTTTAATTTTTTTTGAGGAATAGGGGGACTTCTATACAACCAGCTAAGACAGCAGAAACTAAGATTAAATTAAAAATGAAAACCAAGGTGAAGCAAAGAGTGTAAAAAACAATCATTTTATCATTAATCATTTCACAATAAAAGTCGTAACAAGTTTGTTTCCCACTTATCTATATACTTTTGACAAGCCAGATACTCTTAAATTTCTAATTCTTAACTGAATTTAAGTCCTCTTACCATCCGGCCCAGGGATTTGGCAGCGCCTAGAGACATTTCTTGGTTGTCATAGTGGAGTTGGAGGGTCCTGAGCAAACACCAGAGATGCTGCTAAATACCCTACAATGCACAGCACAAATCTCCACAACAAAAAATGACCTGCCCCTGTTCCCTCAAACAATTCGGAGCTAATTTCTTGGAAGAACAGGGAGCATTTAGCTCTCTAACTCCACTGCCTACTCATTTTCCTAGAGCCCAGAGACATCTTTTACTTGACCAACATGAGGCATTTACTACCATGTTTCCCCGAAAATAAGACATCCTCCGAAAATAAGACGTACTTACAGGTTTCCTTCTGAGTGAAATATAAGGCATCCCCTAAAAATAAGGCCCCGCTAGGCTCTGTCTCAGAAATTTTGTGAAACCTAAACTGCAAGAAGGTGTGACTTGGGTGAAGAATTCATGAGAGAAAAATCACTGACAGTTGCATTGTAAATGCACTGCGAGCAGGCTATCTTGACAAGAAGTACTCATTTAAAGACAGTGCTATTGCTAAACATGAGAGATTTGGCCCACTGATTCTGAAAGAAATGGAGTCACAAGAAATTCACCAGGAAATTCAGAAATTGGATGTTATGATGATGTTTCAGAAGATGATGACATGATTGTCATTGAATAAATGAGTAAATTCTTGATACTGTAGGATTCACAGTCTGTCTGGTTTGTGTTGACAACTACCGTGCTAGCATACCATATACAGGTAATAAATTTCTTTTATTTTCATTTAACAATAAATGTGTACTGTATTCTTCTTCATGGAAAAATAAGACATCCTCTGAAAATAAGACCTAGCACATCTTTGGGAGCAAAAATTAACATAAGACACTGTCTTATTTTCGGGGAAACAGGGTAGTACATCACCAACGATTTTTCATTCTGAAAATTGTCCTCTTATTTTTTGTCACTTCCCTGATGATATCCCCTAAACTCTGAAACGTCTTCTGAGCCTCCTCTACTGGCACTTCTTTCCTGTGCCCATGATCGAATATCGGGGTTCCAGGCAGTGGGAGGGTCTTGGCCCTTATTAACCACTGAGCACACAGCCTGTCTGGGCAATCATGTCTACTTCTTACCTACTCCCATGGCTTTGACCGCCATCTGGGAAAGACCTTTCTTTTCAATTCCAGAAGCTTTCTAAAAATACAGAACATGAGGTATTTTCACCTTCATATCTCATTGTTCTGGCAAACAACACAGCCAGGGTAACTTCAGTCTCCAGTTCCTACTAGGTATTTGTCCTGTAGTTGCCATTCCTAGAGATGGTAGCAATATATACAGTAAATCTGCCAAACATATATATCATCTCACAAATTGACCATAAAGTGGTATGATTTATAATTTCTTAATGTGATTTAAACTATTTACTTTTTTAATCTTTACTGCTACTTTCAGTTTAAAATCTAACATATACCCTCTTCTGAGTTATTTGGCAGATTTCTAATTCCTCTCTGATTTCAATCATCATTCCTTTAAACCAATCATTATTTTTCCTTCATTTCAAAGTCTCTCATTTTACAGAACAAAAATGAGTAGATTTTATGAATCAGCATCTTTCAAACATATGCTGCCCACCAACCTCCTGAATATCAAACCACCTGAATCTCTCCAAATACACAATGTTTTAAGGTTTACATTCTTTCCTTAAATATATATATATATTATATATTATATATATAATATATAATATATATAATGTTCAATAATTGAGCATTTATGTTAAGCATTCAAAAATATGTAGATTAAGAATTTTTATAATATGGTAGAGGAACACATATTTATACCATTTTATAAAAATACACTGGTTACAATATTATTGAAAACTCTCGATGTTTTGACCATAATTTCCATATTAATACTTTTTACGAAACGCAAGGAAAGACAGAATACTTATGAGCTAATTCGAAAAAGATGCATATAAATGAATACTGTTTGATCTTGTATTGCCTCAAATGGCATGAACTGTTGACATGGCAATAGAAGAAAGAATTTTATTCACTAGCTAAATTCAATTTTGAAGACTTGTGTTTTCCTCTCTAGGCCAGAAATATTTTTAGCATTTCTCAAAGCTCATTGATTTAAAAAAAATTTTTTAAAGCTACTGTCATATTACAGGAAAAAAGTCATTATTTTAAAATTTCTTCTTAAAACAGTTTGATTCATTATTGATGATGGGATTAGGAAAGAAAGCAATCCTTCAGGTTACTAAATAAAAATATAAGGTGCATGTTCACTGATAGCAATTTTAACAAAGCTAAGGCTTCGAAAAAAAAAAAAATCATAGCCTTTTCTGCCCAACAATAAAATGGCTGGCCAATTTTGATAATTTAATATTAAGAAGAAAGGCTAATAGTTAAGATTAAAAACATTTATTTTCTGTTGTGGCTCAGTGGGTTGGCACCATCCATGTATCGAAAGGTTGCTGGTTTGATTTGCAAACAGGGCACAGGCCTGGGTTGAGGGGCTGGCTCAATCCCTGGCTAGGAGGTGCAGGAGTTAGCTGATTAAGGTTTTGCTCTCACATCGATATTTCTTTCTCTCTCTCCCTTTCTCTCTTTCTAAACATAAAAAATAGTTATTTGCTGTTAAGTAGATAAAAGAAAAAGAAAAAAAAAAAGAAAAAGAAAAAAAACCCTTCAAAATCCCCAAGTTTTATTTGTATAAAATAGTCCCGATTTTATTTTAGTTTTACCAAATACGATACAATTTTCTAAAACTGAAAATTAAAACAACCCGAATCTGAATTTAAATTCCCCATTAACCTGTTTAAACAGAGATTTAATTTTACTCATGTAAGGGAGAATAATGCCTGTTATATTTACTATAAAGGGGTGTGGTAGAAAAAAAGATCAATAGAATTTGACATTGACATTTAATATTTTAAAAAAGTTCCAGAAATAAGGTATTTCAAGATAAAAATGGAAGTTAGGAATATTTGCATTTTTAAGGTTTTATGTATGTTTCAAATCTCACTAAACTTAATTTAACTGCTTTTTAAAATAATTTACAAAAAGTAAATTACCTGGTTTTCAAGCAAAATGGCATTGCTAGCTAAGGTCTTAATGCTTATATATTGAGGACTTTCACAAAACAAATTCAGGTTTATGATTATTCTAATCTGTTCCTATTGGACATACACGTTTCAAGCATCTGTGGGTTCCAGATTTCCTGGTGTGAACTATAAATCAAAAGACTGGACATTGATAACAAAAACATCATCAGGGTAGCTGAATAAGAAATAGAAAGATTTTGTTTACGAAAAGATGTTTTCATGTCTAAAGGTAATGATAAAAGATAGTGATATATTATTTAGAATTTTAGTACATAAATATACAAGTTTTATAATATAGTATAATAAACTTAAAATGTAAGTAAAAATATCAACTTTAATTCCAGACATGAGACCATAAGCTGCTATTTAGTGCTATCCTTCAAGACATATTATAGAAATAAGACTCATGCATAAATTCTCTTATCTGTGAGACCAATGGTACAACCAGAAAGTTGAAAAGTACAAACTTTTTAAAGATTCAACTGTTTCCATCTTTTTCACAATTAACTATAGATAAAATATTTCCTCAAAATAGATAATATAAAAAATGTATTATTATGTTTAAATTACCATACCAAATCTTTGCTGTAAACCAGGAAAAAACATATCATATTTTTTATTTTGTTCTGAAAAATAATTCATAAAGTTTTGGAATTGATGTAAAAATTGCTACAAAGTATTGATATCATCATTTACTCGTGTTGTTTGGATTATCTGCTTAATAAATATATTTTTTTCAGTGTTAAAGTCAGGGCAAATCCTTAACTACTGCTGATCCCAAGACTTAGACCCTCTGATGTATGGACATTCTATCTCTACAGAAATAAGATATCTTCTATGATGAGTTTTTCTATTAAATAAATAAATAAAGTATAGTTGGCATTATTGTTGGTGTGTTCTTCCCAGCATGCCTAGAGTAATGATTCCTTTATCAGAAATTACCTGGTAAAAGTTTCATATATATATATATATATATATATATATATATATATATATATATATATATATTATAAATAGGTAACAGAAATTGGTACAATATTGAATTCATCCCTTGTATTTGCTGACATGGTAAACACAAACTTTTCATTTAACACTGCCAACTTTAATGCTTGATTATATCTCTCATTAACAACTCAAATTTTAAAGTGGGCAGTATGGCCAACTTGCTGTAATATACTAACAATCTCCTCACCATAGTGCTGTAATCTAAATACATTTACTGCAACACCCTGGGTTTGTATTATTTTGACTAGCTTTCTCTAGAGAAGATAAAGTAAAATTATGTAGAGCTTTTAATAGTTTTATTCTTTAGGTATGGAGCATCCATGGGAACAAAGCTTACTATGAATAAATCAAAGTAAATGCGCATGCCATTTACGCGGTTCATTGTGTTCACTTACATGCCACTTCCAGAGATGCATTTCGACTCACTGCTTCACCGAGATAGTTTCTTGCAACGCAAACGTAGCTTCCTTCATCGGGTTTACTTCTGCGGCCGTGCACGATGCGCAGGAAGAACAAGGATCCGCTGGGCAGCAGCATCCTGTGGGAGCGCGGGTCGTCCTTGTCGGTCTCCACCCGCTCGCCATCCTTGTACCACTCAATGGTGGGCGTGGGCCGGCCCTCTGCCTTACAGTTCAATGTGGTGGGCTCCCCCTTGGAAACAATGACATCTGAGGGGTGCTCCACAATCCGTGGGGGGAAGTCTTCCTGACGAAGACGAGATCCTAGAACATGACAGAATAAAGACAAGCTTTGACATTTCCTTAGTGATAGCTTTTGTTTGATTTAGGTTGACATTAATGAAATGAAACTCTTTATTCAAAATGCACTTGTTACTATTTTATTCGTTTTACTCTTTTGTTCTTAATGTATCTCGCAAGTCATCCCCATTCCTTTGTGTAATGCGACAATGTAATAATAAATTAATGTTAATTCTAATAAGTTACAGTTAATATCCCATGAGTCATGACCAACAAAAGTAAAAGAGAGCAGGTTATACTGGGTACAAGTAAAACAAATTCCTGTCCTCTAAGTGCTCACTGTCCCCTGGGGAGAAAGCCAAGTGCCCAAGTACCTAGAGCACATACATACATGCCGTTTATCATGACGGAGTGGTTATCAGACTTAACACAAAAAGAGACCCACACATTAACTACAAATATTAGCTCAATTTAACAGATAAGGAAGAAGCTTAGGAAATTAAATTGATTGCCCAAGAATGTAGAGGAAATTTGCAATAGAGGCAGGATTTACACCCAGATATGTCTGACTGAGGACCTAAAGCATAAATCACTATGTTAAAATTAAATGAGTATTGCATAAAGGTCCAAAAAATGCATTATAGGAAGAAAACAAGGAGCAAAATGTTAACTCTAACTAAAACATATTAAGAAGTCTCTTCCCCAAAATAGTGACATTTAAATTGAGCTGTAAAGCATAAAAATATGTCAATATGGGAGAAAGGCATTCAGATTGAAGAAACAACATAAGCAAAAGAAGAGAGAAATTAGACCACATGCACAGTACATTTCATAATCAGGGGAAAACTCGATGTGGTAGGTGAAGGTAAAATGTAGTCTTGGAGCCTGAGACAAAAGGGCTTTTAACACCATGCTAAGGAGTGTGAGTTTCAGTCTATAAGGCTAACAGATTCTGAAGGAACAGTACCTTGACTATGATGTATTAGAAAGACACTCAGGGTTTGTAGTGTAAAAGATTTGTAGCCATGAAAGCATAAGACAAGAGTTGTTTAAATACCCCAGAATTCTAACAAAGAAACAAAACAAAACAAAAACATGACCTTGAGAAATAATGGTGAAAGTATAAAAAAGAGAAAGCTATAAGGCATATTACAAAACCATGCTTGATAGAATTTGGTATATCACCATACAGTAAGGAAGAGTGATAGGTAACAATGACTTCCTTGTGACTGCAAAGACAGTAGGGATACTAAAGAAAATAAGACGTACCAAGAGGAAGTCCTGTTGTTATTTTTAAATGAACATTTTAGATAACATATTGTTTTGAATATGTTTAATTTCTAAAGTGTCAATGGCCATTATGTGTGGAAAGGTCCTACCAGCAACTGCAAAATAAATCCAAAGGAGATGCAGGAAGAAATAATGATATCTGAGGACAATTATAATGTACATATGGGATTTTAAAAGTTTGCTCATAAATTTTCCAGCCAATCACCTAATATTAGCACATTTATGCCCAATACACAGAAGTAATATTTATGCCTCAATAGTGTTTATTTATATTCAATATTAATTAAAATTTAATATTTTACTTTTACAGAGGAAATTTAATTTTGTAGTAAATAAACATTTTCTTTTCTGAAGAGATTTAACATTAAAGGTTGCTGATTACTATTTGTAATCTCATCATATCCAAAAAAAAATCTTACATATTGCAAGTGCTAGGTATCTACAGCAAAAAGAGTAATTCACAGTACCCAGGTCAGAATTAAAATACAAAGAAAAAAAAAGTACTGAAGAACTGCAAAACATTTAAATATGGACATGTACATCATGTATCACAGTAATATAGAAAGACACATATTTTAAGGACTGAGGCCCTAAAGCACATCCTCAAATAAACTAATTTGTTGTCTAAAAAAATAAGAATTATTAAAAAATAATAAAAAAAATACTTCAAAGTATCCTATATAATGAAAGTAGAGTATGAAAATTGTCCCCTCAACCAGAAATTGTCCAGAGTTCCATCAGGGGGGTGGGTTGACTGGGGGAAGAGAGGAAGTACCTGGCCAGCAGCCGCTAGTGACCTTACCAGTGCACGAATGTCGTGCACTGGACCTCTAGTTTAAATATAAAGGGCTAATCATAGTTTGTAAATAGTAGCGTATTCCCAAATGTAAATGTCTGGACACATACATAGACTCTAATCCTGAAATGCATCAAGGGTTCTATGCTGCTTTTCATGTAATAGACATCATGTATAAAAATGTATATGTGTGAGCCAGATGAAGAAGTGGTAAGGGGCACCTTAGCTTTCATCAAATTTCCAAAGAGGTTCTGGGCCATATGAAGGACAACTAAACTATTAAACTACTACATCATTGGACCAAAATAACCCCATCGTTTGGTTAAACAAACAACAATAACAAAAGACAACTGAATTTTCAACCAAACTCATTGGGAATTCAAATCACAACAGTAGAGGGGGCTGTCCATCACATGAAGTGCCCTGAAACAACTTAACTAACCTCAAGAGCTTGGATACTCAAAGGCATATTTTGAAATACAAGATGCAGGGCCAATCTCAGAATTGCAGAATCAGAATCAGCATTTTGACAAGATCCCCTGAAGAATTCATGTGCTTTCTATAGTCTGAGAAGCATTGCTCTGACCAGTTTTTTTGTTTGTTTGTTTGTTTGTTTTGCCCTGAGCTAAGAATATTTTTAAATTTTTTAAATGTTAGAAGATGAGGAACAAGAAAGGGAGGAAGAAAATGGAAAAATGAAGAGACCCTACGTGGCCTAAAATGCTTGTAATATCTACTATCTGAGCCTTTACAGAAAAAGTTTACCAGTCTTGCTGTAGAGTATCTGTTTATAACTTTACATTAATAACTTCAGTTTTTAAATTTATATCCCTCTTATAAGACCACAAAACTGTTTTCTCCAGATTCCAGATGAAAAAGAAAAAACAAAACAAAACAAAACAAAAAAAAACACAAATAAACAATAAAAACAAAAACAAAAACCTTTGAGCCCTAACTGGTTTGGCTCAGTGGATAGAGCATCAGTCAGCAGACTGAAGGGTCCCAGGTTCAATTCCGGCCAAGGACATATACCTTAATTGCGGGCATATCCCCAGTAGGGGGTGTGCTGGAGGCAGCTGATAGATGTTTCTCTCTCATTGATGTTTCTAGCTCTCAATTTCTCTCCCTTCCTCTCTGTAAAAAATCAATAAAACGTATTTTTAAAAAATCTTTGATAGCAATCTTAATATTGTTTGTGTAATGAGAAATGTTCAGGATTCCTATATGAACACATAGGCTAAGCATGGTTTGAAAATTACTATCTGCAATTATATCATTTCTCCCCGATGACAGTGTAGACCTCTTTTTACATTTCAGTTTTTAAATGGGACATTAGATGGTCCAGTTTTCATTTTAAACTGCCCTGTTTTTATTCAAGTGCCCTTAGCTATTTTATAAAAAGACGATGGAAATCAGTCACACAGTTCTAAAGATGAGCATCCAAATGTTTATTTTTACTGTCCAAGAAACTAAGCTATAAAATAGTAAATTAACTTGTCCATAACTGAATAGCTAGTTGAAACAGTATTAGAACTCAAGATCTTTAATCCAAAATATGGCAGGCATTTTTTAAAAAATGGATGGAAGAGTAAGTAAAGAATGCACATTACTATTATGCTAATACCTAAACCCTCTTCTAAGTTAATTTCCATAAAATTAGTCAAATGAATACCTCCTGTAATAATAAAGCCAGAAAATATCTTCCTTCTTTGTCAAAATATGACCCTCAGACTACATGTCTAGAATCACTTGGAATGTTACTTTAAAATCAGATTCTTGGTCTCCATAACCAACCAGAGGCAATGGAAGTTACAAGAGGAAGGGTCTAAGAAGCTGCACCATGAGCATGCCATGCACTTAGACTGGTGAGATGTAAGCATCCTGCAGAAATATGGAATTCCTCAGTTACATGAGGATGCATCTTCCACCAATGTTTTGAGTACCCAAATTTACATAATAGATTACTTCTGCTTCCCAGAGGCTCCCAAACAATAATTTTTTGGTAAAATATTTAATAAAAAAATAAATTGAATAGTCTGTTAGCTCTTTAAATTTTAGAGATTTGGAGATGAAGTTTAAAATCATAATTTGTGAAAGTATTTAAATGTAGTTGTATTAGGCAATAACCTCCCATTAGCAGTGAGTGGTAAAGAAACTTGTTTTCAGAAAGCCATTTCAATTACATCTATAATAATAAAAGTGTAATATGCTAATTAGACAGGACAGCCGAACGACCTTCAGGATGACTTTCCAGATGAAGCCAGGGCTGTGAGGGCTGAGGCAAGCTGCAGTAGCTGCGAGGGTCAAGCCCCTTGCATGAATTCCAGGCACTGGGCCTCTAGTAATTAAATAAAGGAGGATAAAGTACCTAGAAGAACACACTTGTTAATGTCATATAATTCATTTCAAAGTAAACTCTTTCTGTCTCATTATTCAGTAGAATGTAGCATTTCTTTTAACTAAGATTTACTTTTGATTCACAAACTAGATAACCATATCTGAGTTTTTTCAAGGACAGAAGAAATTCTTGGTCAATTAGAGACAGTATGTAATCCACTCCCACCCCAGCAAAATATCTAGGTGGTGTCAGTTTTTCTTTTTTCTAAAAATGTATATAAATACTGTGAATTAGTTCATCATAACTATGTATGTTTTGACAAAATATTTTCCAAAAAAAATTACCTAGCAAAAATAAGCCAGGAAGATTTTCTATGGCACTGATTCTGAATGTGACCAGATAGCTCTCTAAGTTATCACTCCTCCCACTCCCCCCAGGTGAGGGGCACACAGAACAATATGAATAATGTAGGCTGCTTGACCCCTCAGAATAAGAAAAGGGCAGTGTGGTAGGAATACTGGATGTGGGTCACTCATTAGCAAATATTATGCCTCACTTTTATCGGACACAAACCTTAACACCAATATCTCACCATGTTTT